TGAAAGTGTCAAGTTGAAATCCTAGCCTCAAGGAAGGTGGGTTTTGTCTTAGGTGTGAATGGTTGGTGAATTTATCTATATTAATCACTCTCTACTCAAATAAACTTTAAATAAAATTAAAAACCTGAAGCTGTGATCTGGTAGTGTCTAGCTCTCTGTGAAGAAATTCTACTATTTCCAAATATTACACATAATGTATTGCACTAGGAAAGTCTAAAGTCAGGGACCTCTCCAAATTATTGAGGAGTAATGATGTCATTTTGAGGACTAGGGTGCACCTGATTCAGGCCATGGTCATTCCAATTACTTGCTATGCATCTGAAAACCGGACAATAAATAAAGATGACAGAGGAAGAATTGATGTATTTGAGCTCTGGTGTTGGAGAAGAGTACTGAACATCCCATGGACTGTCAAGAGAACAAATAGATAGGTGTTGGAGAGCGTGTAGCCAAAATGCTCTTTGGAAGATATAGCCTCACCTCACATACTTCAGGCATATTGCTAGAATAGGCTATTCCTTAGAGCAGGATATGATGCTTGCAAAGGTAGCGGGTTAGAGAAGGAGAAGACCGACCCTCAACCAGATAGATTGACATGGTGACTGCTGCAATGGGCTCTAATGTGTCAGAAAGTGTGAGGATGGCACAGGATTAGACAGGGTTCAGATCTGTTGTTCATAGGCTCACTATGAGTCTTACTCAACTCAACGGCACCTAACAACAACAACCACCAGTCAGGAAATTAAAAGACAAATTGCATTGGAAAAGTGTGCTGTCAGGGACCTCTCCAGAGTGCTGAAGTACAAAAATGTCAGTGTAAGGACTAAGGTGCACCTGTTCCAGACCATCGTCCTCGCAATTATTTGCTATGCATCAGAGAGCTGGACAATGAGTAGGGATGATAGAAAGAGAATTGATGCCTCTGAGTTGTGGTACTGGAGAAGAGTACTGATAATACCATGAACTGCCAAGAAAACAAACAGGTCTGTATGAGAGTGAAACCAAGTTTTCCTTAGAGGCAAGGATTTTGAAGTACCATCTCACATACTTTGGACATGTAACCAGGAAAGACCAGTCCTTGGAGAAGGACATCTTGCTTGGAAAAATGGAGGGACACAGCAGAGGAAGATCCCAGATGAGAGGGACTGACACAGTAACTGGGGCAGTGGGGGTACATGTATTGGGAGTCAATGAGACTGACTCAGGACAGGCCAGGGTTCAGAGCTATTGTACATAGGGTTGCTATGAGTCACAGGCGACTCGATGGCACATAACAACTGCAACAATAACATAGGAGATCTGGTTACATAAATGTGTTACGCACTGGACTACTAAACAAAGCTCAGAATTTTGAATCCTCCAACATACTCCAGGAGAAAAATAGGGTAGTCTGTTTCTTTACAGATTCACAGCCTTGGAACTTGTATGGAGCTGATCTGTCCTGCTTCATGGGGTAATTATGAATCAGAATTAACGCTATGACAGTGAAAATTAGAGCTTTCACTCGGGTGTCCCATGGATGGAGCCTGATTGCCACTGCTGATCACTCTAAAATGGATCACAGAAGAAGATCTTGGATAGAATGAGGTAACTGTGGGATAAAACTAAAAAATATTTTAAAAGGCCAGGCTTACCAGCCCATTAGAGACTGATGGAATCTCCAAGACTGTAGCCGTCGCTACCCTTCAAACCTAGAACAAAACTCACTGCTGTGGCTCAGCTTTCAGCCCCTATTGGTTTATCAATAATAACCCCAGGGAAGAACTCACTGCGTGGAATAATCCACTCCATAGAACTGTAAAGTTAAAGGAGCAACATTTGCCCAAGAATAAAGCTCAAAGAGCACAAAAGGGTAGTATAGAGGGAATAATGGAGATGAGAGGACATAGAAAGGGAGGAAGTGAGGCAAGTGTGATTAAATTGTGGATATTGTGGCACACAGTAACAACTGCTTATTGTTGAATGATAAACACATAGGTGAGGAGAAAAAGTTTTTTTAAAAAACACACTTTTAAGGCAGGGAATGATCAGTATGTTCATAACAGAAAGATATCCCAACTAGTGCCCACAACAGTTTTATACAGACTTCATGTTCTCACTTGCTACAGTTGAGAAACCATGTGTGTCTACAAGCCAAACCATACTGGTCTTTGGAGAAATTCCAGTTACACAACACCATGACTTCATTTCCTCACCACTTTTATTGACAATGCTTTTAAATAGTGAAGTAAACAAAATGCTGTGGCCAGAGCACTGTTTTGAGTTTGCTACAGAGGAAATGGTCCCTTAATGAGTCAACCGAGCATTGTCAAAGTAGGAAATGGTATAGCTCGGACATTTTTAATTTGACTTTGTTCATTTATCAGTCAAAAGTTATCACAGAGCACCAAGCAAAACACTTAAGTCCATCCCTCAGTTTACAAGGTTATAGTCTTGAGGAGGGATTATTTTTTTCTCTATCTTATTAATTCAAAACAATTTACTAATAATTTAAACCCAAACTTTATGGTAAGTAACTGTAATATAAAGACAAATGAGAGGAGGGCCCAGACTTCCAAAAACTCTAAGTCTGGGGTGAGACAGATGTGAAAATACACATTTTAACAGTAAATTAAAACAGAGGCATTTACAAAGGTTATGGCAACTCAAAGAAGCGAGATGGATTATCAAGGAGGGAACACTGGGTTAGGTGTCACAGAGGAGGGGATGTGTAAAATGACTTTTGAAAGAAAGTGCTTGCTAGGGAGAAAGGAAATGTTCTGGAGAGCAAGAAAAATGTGTGCAAAGTTTCAGTTATAAAGTTGTACAGCTAAAATAAGATGATAAAACTTGGAGTTTAAAGAACTTGTTCAAGGTCAGCTGATAATTGATAGGGCTGGAAGTTGGATACAAACTGAATTTGTCTTATGCCTGGAGATACTGAAGCAGAAAAAGGATTGAGAGCAACAGTGTATGTAAGTTACAGGAATTTCTAGGTGCCACAAACAGTTAAGCACTCAACTTAGCCAAAAGCATGGTGATTTAAACACACTCAGAGACACCTTAGAAGACTAATCTGACAGTCTGATTCTGAAACCACACAAGTGTGAAAACCCTATGAAGTAGTTTTACTCTTTTGCAAACATGGGGTCTTCATAAGCAGTAACTGAGTTTTGCTGGCAAATTTCTTAGGGTAGATCCAAATTTCATTTTGTTTTTAAATTCTGCACTCACTCACTCTTGTAAACTGAGCCTTAGCTGATCTTCTAGCAGGTTTCCAGAGGCTTTAAAATCAAAGAATCACACTGGAGATTGCCCATCTTTATCCAGCTGCTGGTGAAATCAAACCATTATATACAGGTGTCACCTGTGGATTAGCAATGCAGACTATACCATGAGAGCTCCTTCAAGTTTGCAGGGGGTCCAAGAACTACTGCTCCAAGAGGATGAGCTGAGAAAGAGAAAATAATAGTCAATATCTACTATGTTTGAAGATTTTTGTCCCAAATGCTCTGGGACAATAACTATAGTGTACTAGGCTTGTATGGATAGAGAAATCTGTATCCTGATCCACCTCAACCATTTAAAGACTTTTATGGTAAACAATTATGTTAGTCTTAGCCCCTAAAGTGCATATATAATTCTTAATTTAATAACAAGGAAAATAAGGCACAAACCAGTGAAATAACCTTTCAAGATTATCATAACGTTGATACAAATATTTTTGTTGGTCAAAGCCCAGGCTTTTTCCAATACACACCACCACCCATGAGCCTCAATTTAATCCTTAGAACTATCTTGAGGTAGGTATTAGTAATCCCATTTTACAAATGAGGAAATGAATACAGGAGAAGTTAATGTGCTCAGGTACAGACGTTTCGAGAAATTGAAGGTATATTAAGAAGATAAAAAATACATGATAAAAGTAAATCATGCCCTCTCTTAAAAGTTGTGAGTTTCTGTATTTCAAGGTTCTATTGATGTCTGGTTTCTGTTTGTTCCTTCAACCTATCGGTATCACTTTTCCTAACTAGAATTTTACTCCCATAGCCTTGCCTTTCATTCTCTTAATGTGCCAACACTTTTCTTCAGGCACATTCCCTCTATTTAGGATACTCTTACTCAGATCTTAGAAAGGGTGTCTTCTCAATATTGTTTTCAAGGCTCATTTCCTCAAAGTGAACCTGAATAGCCTACCAACAAATAGGTCACCTTCGCTGTCATACTTCTGCACTTGTTTCGTAGCACTTTTTATTAGACTGGCTTGCATCTTTGTTCACTCTCACTTTTGTCTCCACTACAATGTAAGCTTTCCGAAAAGAAGAATCTTTTGGTTGCTGAACAAATTATCTCTAAATGACTACAAAGCTACCCATCATATGAAGGTTTAGATAAATTCTCGGTGAAACAAACGATAAAAACACATGAAGCTAATAGTCTATGTGTTTCCTATTGCCAAAGGGGCCCTTTAGAGTAGTGAGAGAAGATCTTCACCCTGAAACCTACAAGTGTCCCTTTTCAGCAGGAAGTAGCTAAGAGAATACGCCATCCCCTTTTCCTTATGAATCAGGGTGAAGTCTCTCTCAGGGAGGAGTGATAGGGAATGGCAAAGGACACACTGACAAAGGAGATTAATCAGAACTGGCTTTGACAAACACTGTGGCAATTGGACAATTAAAACAGACTTTCAAGGGGGGGATAAAAAGAACGAACTGGGGAGGAGGGTAGAGAAAATAGTGCAACAATGAATGAATGAAAAACCAAAATCTCTGTAAATGTTCATTAAAATTAATAAAATAGAATACTAATACTACTACTAATAATAATAATAAAGAATATCCTTTAAAAAACCAAAACAACAACAACAAAAAAACACATGAAGCATTACAAGGGTCTGTAAAACACGTGAAGCACTACAATGGTCTGTAAAGGGAGTGCCTCTCGCCACAGCCAAGCTCCGCCTCCCTAATACGCGCCCAGGGCCTCGTGGGAGGCTGACGTGAGAGCGGAAGTACTCTGCGCAGGCGCCGTCAGACCCCGAGGCTTTCTGGGTAAAGATGGACGTGCACGACTTGTTTCGCAGGCTCGGTGCGGGGGCCAAATTTGACTTGAATCGCTTCTCCGCGGACGCCGTTAGATTTCAGGTACTGTGAGAAGGGCGATGTGATTGAGGTGGAACACCAAATAACCAGGAAAGAGCAGGATCCGGAGAAAACAAAGTTCTTGGGAGCCCGTACACCCTGAGGCTTTGTGGCATGGGTCTGACTACTAACTCGCTGACCTAAGATCTTCAAATTCTGCCTTTTGGATGAACTCTCTGCCCCTTAGCTTATTCTAGGAAAAATTGGAAACTCAAAAAAAATAATTTTTTCTCTGGTGGAAACAAATTTTGAAAATAGAAAAAATTATAAGTGAGGAGTAAAGTTTTTCACTGTAGTCTGCCCTTATTTGTATGCGTTTAGTTTTACCAGACTTGACCCTTAGTGCCCCAACCCCACGTGTGTTATGTAACCCGTGGAGAAGAGTGTTGGAAGAGATAGGAAGTAGTGAGTGATAAATCTGGAGAAATTACTTGACACAATTGTGAAAAAACTTTGAATGTCAACCTTTTCTGTTGGGCTAGATTGCTGTTAACAGTTAAGCATTAAAAGATTTTTAAGTAATAGATACGGGTTGGAGCTTTTTTTTTTTCCTGTAAAGGCAGTACAGTTCGATTAAGAACGTGAATTCTAGTGCTCACTTCAGCAGCACATATACAAAATTTGAACAATACATAGAACATTAGAATGGCCCCTGCGTGAGGATGAGACGCAAATTCGTGAAGCATTCAGCATTTTTAAATTTTATTTTTTTTAAAAGTGAATTCTAAAGACACATTAGCGTTGAGGATCCTCCTTCATAGATAGGGTCGCTGTGAGTCACCTGTGACTCAAAGGCACTTAACAACAACAACAAAGACACATTAGATGCTGCAAACCCTGGGTCAGCTAGTTACTAGTTTGAAACTAGTTTGTTTTACTTACCCTCTCTATTCCCTGATTTTTTTCATATACTATGTTGCCATTTGTGTCCTTGGGTTGTTGTAAGGCTGAAATAATTGCGCATATAAACCTACTTAGAACTATGCCTAACATAGTTCAGTAAGTAACATAATTGCTAGCTGGTATTACAGTAATTATTACTAATTTTATAAGGTCAGAAAAGATACTTTCTTGGAGTCCATTGATTTGCCTGAACACATTTACCAGCTCAACAAATATTTGGCGATTAGATTTTTAAAGGAGGTGTAGGGACTAGTCACTAGACTCATGTCTTTCTTACTGCCCTTTGTGTTTGGGTGAAAGCACTGGCATCCAGAAGATTTAATCTTAAGTTTTTTTTGTTTTTAGCTAGGCAAAAGGAAGTATGATGTTAATTCTTCAGAGGTGCTGCAGGGACTGGACTTTTTTGGAAATAAGGCTGTCTCAAATGAATATACAGCATCTGGAACTCATCAAGAGCTTCAGGATGAAGAGAAAAAAGAAGAAAGTCTAACTGAAAGGAAGGGGGAACAGAAGAGGAAAAGGAGAAAGATGATGACTTCAGGTTTGTGCTTGGTTTTTCTTACACTTTTTTCTCTTAGTTTTGGTTTGATGTTTTTTTCCCCCAATTGCAAAACTGAAGTTGAGTGAAGGAAAGGCAGTATACAGTAAGAGATTGCTCAACACTAAAAAAGAGAGATGGAGAGGTACATAAGAACTCTAGGACCCATGCCTCCAATCCCTCAAAGAATACAATCTTGTGATTACAAGCTCAACATTTTATCAGGTAATATTCAGGTGTTTTCAGGTACTGCTACAATAAATTTCTACACAGGTGTTTATAGGCCTTTTGTTTGTCTTAGCTAAAAACAGAAATGACCCAAACGTCCCTCAACAGGTGAAGGGATAAACAAAATTGTTATGTACCCATACAATGGAATGCTAACTAGAAAAATGATGTCCTGTCAGTTCCATTGAGTTTCTGCGGTTATAAATCTTAACAGTAAGGGCCCACCCATCTTTTTCTCAAGGATCAGCTGGTAGATTTAAACTGCCAATCCAATGGATTTTGATAACAACACAACATAGAACAAGAATTTTTTTTTTCATTTTTCTTTTTATTATTATTTTTCTTCAGCTACAGTGAAGTATGTTGTTGTTGTTTAATGCCGCCAAGTCGTAGACGACTCATAGCGACCCTATGAACGAACAGCCTGAGCACTGTTCGTACATAGAGTTTCCAGAGGCAAGCCATTTTGGAAGTGGATGCCGCTCCTGCTTCCAGGCTTGATTTAGTCGGGAAGCTCCAGCCAACACTGTCCACCAT